AAATTTCTGTTTCTAGTGACCAACACTTAGCTCACAAAAGTGAAAAGCTCAAATAAGTTATTTTAAAGATAGCAGAATGTAAAATAATGAAACAAATATGCAATAATAGAACACTAAGGGCAAAATAAATTTATACATAACACAACTATTTTTCAAAATCCTTGCTTTGCTTTAGATGCCAGATGCCTTCTGGCKAAAAACACATTCTTCACACATGCTGGGAATGTTGAGGAAAACTAGTCAGCATTCAGAGGATTAATACAGATTTCCAGCTCTGTGCCTTTAGGCTTAATAGTCAGACATCTATTTGTCCTCAGGAGAGGTTAGGGGTTGAAATGCAAATATCCAAACAACTGAATTCTTTGTTAAGATATCAGGAAAAAGCTTGATCTTTGCTGCTGTTTAATAAATCCTTGCAATTTTATGAACATATTTAAATGCAGCTTTGTGTCTTRCTATTTTGAAGGAGAAAACAATGTAAGGAAACAAACACATTCATTCTGACTAAAATTTGTTCTCTAGAGGAAAAATGACATACACCCTTGACAGCTTATTTACCAAACTCACTAAAGATTTATTGATTTATCAATCAGTGCCTTGAGCATTTGCTTCTCCCCAAGGGAAAATTAACAATTCCAGCTAACCTAATATATTCTATGTATAAACTAAGTGAATGCAAGAATCAATCCTGGCACAGTTTACAACATCCAGTTTAAAAAATGCTGTCCCTTTTGGTATATGTAAAATTGAAAGCTATACTAACGAAGAATAAATGCTCATGTTGCTTACAAACATAAAAAATACTTATTAAGACAGTACAATTGAACCCAACAGACATTTTAATTCATTTAAATACTCAGTGGGAGGCAAAAGCATTGGAAAATAAAAAATTGAATGATTTTGCTTCTAGATTAATACTAAGTACAACCACTATTAGTTACAATACTGACATGCCTCAAAGCAGAGATATTTCAAAGAGCTACAAATTCKCTTTTACTTCACCTGGAAAAGCAAAAGCCTGAAAATTAATTAGTGGTTTGATGATTTCAGAGCAACACAAGAATCCCAGAAGATGAAAATTAAAATCTAGGAATAYTTCATAATTTAATAAAGAAAATACTATAACACAACTAAAATGTACACAAAAATGGTGTTAGCAAGRGGAAAATGCAGTAAACATTAGATTTGCTTTTCACTACAAAAAGTAAAAATATCCCAAATATATATAAATAAARATTTGGAGTAGTAAAGACCTGGAAGAGAGCAGCTCAGTGCATCACTGCTCCTGTGCTGAACCTTTGCAGCATCTGATTCCTGCAAGGACCCACAAAACACCCAACCTTTATCACCTAAGGAAGCTCAGCTGCAGCAAAGTCTTCCCTTTAAAACCAAGACCAACAATCTSCCCCCACAGTGATCCCCTCCCAGGCCCCTGGGATTATCCTCACAACCAGGACCTTCCCAGCAAGACACATTCCATGGGAGCAGCAGAATCCAATACAAAACACYGACCGCAGATTCTGTTAAACCCTCATGCACCTAATTCCATTTAGCAGAAGTTTTATTATAATCCACAGAATTTAGGTGTCTGCTAAACATTAAAATGTGCATTTAGAGAAAAATCCTCAAGATATGTCATGACCCCCTCCYTTTTTTTAAAACATAATTAAGTATGAAAAAGGCCATTCAATCCCAGGGAAAAGAAGACAGGAATTATTGTAAAAGACTGCCCTCTGGTGTTATGCCAATTCTAAATTCTGTTCTATATTTCAGATCCTCCCCAACCACTCCACTGCATTTTTTTGTTACTGTTTTTTGTTTTTTTTTACCTGAAAGAACCACCTCCAGGGTCATTCAGCTTGTTTTTCTGATTTGCAGAGACCTGAACACCAAAGCCCCCAGGACTTTTACTGGCTTGTATTGTTGGTGCCTTCCCTACTGTGCCTGAAAAACACCAAGCAATGTTATTATGAGCTGTCTTAGACAATTTACATCAAAGAACCTTCTGTCCAGGAACTAAATTTAACTGTCTGTAAATTGCAAACAAAGGAAGTTATTATTTTTAAAGATTACATGCTGAAGAATAACAATTTAAAATACAAAATGTATATTAACATTACAGTTTGTTCAATATTTACACAACAGTGAAGATTCAAAAATTGAAAACCATTGGCCATAAACAGCTATAATATTTATAATGGCTGTAAGTGTGTTTGCAATTGCCAGTAAACCACTTTTCTGGATAATCTGTACAGAATAAAGAAGCAGAATTCGAAATGTTCTTAATAYAAACACTTTAAGTCAGAGTCACTCAGGATATTAACTATACCTTTTACATTTTCTTTGTTGTTCTTTATTGCAGTGAAAAACATGTATTTCAGAGTAGAAAGCACTGCATTTATTTTAAAATGTTTTGCATTGCATATAAAAGAAAAAATATTATTGCCAAATTTGACACAACCCCCCATAAAGGTTATCTTTCCCTTCCTRTCTTGAAAACAATGATTAAAAAAAAATTCATGTCTGTATCTAGACTTTACAGGTCTTGAAGTACAAATAAAAATCTGGGCTTTCTAAATGAGCCCAAGTGTGGTGGATATTGGGTAAATTCAAGAGATCTGAATTCCTCTCTGACATTAAACTTTTGGAGTAAGCCCTCCTTGATTGCTTAAACACATTTACATGGGTTACATTTTGTGTTTCTTTTAATCCCACCTGTGTTTTGGCATGTAAAAATAACTCACGTGTCTACTTGATTTAAAAGATCTCACCTTTTTCTTGTATATCAYCCCCTTTAATTGAGCATTACAGACATAGTGTTTGAGATTTTAGGAAGGACATGAAGGTTGTTCCTGCAGCCCAATAATTCAATTGCACATAAATGGCAGGGGAAGGACCTTGGCAGAGTCACAGCATTTTTCTGTCATGGATTATCCATGACAGAAAAACCTAAAACACAACTATCCTAATAAATCCTTTTAAGAATGCTTYTTGGCTAATACAAAGGTGTTTGCTGTGAATGAGTCCTGCATTACTTTTTTTATTTTGAAGTCTTCATCAACTCCAACATCTGATCTTAAAGAGAAACTAATTTTATAGTGTTTGTTGAGTTCTTCATCTGTATAAATAAACTGTAATGTGGACTCTCAACATCAGTAAATACAAAACCAGATTTAGGACTTCAGCCTAAAGCCTGGGGAATAAAAATATTTTGTCATCGGAATATTCAAGGTCCGTGAGATGTCACAGACAGCATTAGTTCATGGACCAGACAATTCATTTATCTATTTCAGATGAACAAATGGAAAGGTTTTCTATTAAGTGAACTGGAAGGAAGGAAGGAAAGAAATAATACAATAACAAAAATTAGCAGATCTCTGCTTTGTACAATTATTAACTAGAAGATTAAAAATGTTAACCTTGAAAATCATTGCAATGATTTCAATTCATTCAATTAACCTTGAAAATCATTGCAATGGCAAGATTAAGGTAACAACACCACTCCTCCAAAATTAATAATCTATTTCTTTGGAATCAGTATCAATGCTTTGTTTTCTACTTTTGATTGAAAAACACCCCCAAAATTCAAAAGGGTACAGCAAGAGAGTAGTTAACTTCCTGGTCTCAGGAAAACAGTATGTCTGCACTGGATATGGGAGAATTAAATTTCACATTCATCCCCAGTGTAAGTAACTCTACTCCATGAATCTGGCAAAGCAAATGTAAGATTTGGGATGTCATTTAAGTTTTCTGGTTTAAATAGATCACAACTGTGCATGACTAAGAGTTAGACACAAAATATGCCTAAAACATCCACTTATATTATGGGSCAGAGCATATTTTGAAAATTAAAATCACCTGTGGGCCTAGATACTTCATGGGATTGGTAATGACATACAGAGTCTTTCACCACTGGATCCTTGCTTCAAATTTTAATTAGCATGATCTAGAAAAATAAGCCCAAATTTAGGAGCTTATAAATTCCTAGCTGTATTTCAGCACAGGTTAAATAACTGCAACAAACACTCTGGTTAATTGTTTTACTATTTGGCTCGATTCCTCCATCCTTAAGACAGAATTCACGTAATTATTATACTAGTAAGTGCTTTGGTAAAGGACTGTGAATTTTTCATGCAGTAAYGATGGTGTTGCTTCCACTGGCATGGAAGTAATTTTATTTATCTAAAAGTCCTTAAAGCCTGCCAGTTTTATCTAAACTACTGTTTTAAGAAGCATTACAGTCTGTTCACATGAATGTATTAAAGATACATTGCACTTGGAGATTCACTCCTGTCAAGGAGGGAAACAACGCACTTTATGGAGGTCAGCTCAGKTCTGGGGAAACTATCCTTAACAAATCACAGTCCACAAAATTATGCTGCTGTAATTTTTATTCAGACCATGTCCTATTCCAGTATATTATCTCCTTCTGCAGGAATATCTAGGTCAGAATAAAATATCATTACACTGGTGTTTACAGTACAAGATTTTAACAGTATATCAAAATGAAGCACTCTTGACAGTGCTGCCAGCACACAGGCAGACTGCTCCCTACATGTGTGCTGCTGGATGAGAGGTTGGGATGTTTTCTAAATGCCTAATCTTGCTTGTTTTGTCTTTGAAACAATATACTGGAGGTCTTAACCAAACCTGTAAATTGGAATAAGCTCACCAGAAAGTAGGACCTTGTAGAATTGGCTTTTATGAAACCACTATCTACCATAAGCCAAACTGTCAGTTAAGTTGCATTGCAATGGCTGATCAAAGGCTATAAAGARTGAACTCATATTCTGAACGTACTGTTTAAAGAAGGGATGCCAGTATCGTGCAGATTCTCAGCACACTGTTGACATTCACAACTTGGAGACTGAACAAGCAAAGAAATGAAATCACCTTCACTCTCAGACACATTAGTCAGAAGTGAAAGCTCATGCTATTGGATGCATGGACATGTTATAAACTCAGGACATGAGTATCAGTGCTATCAAATATACACGTTTTATGGTGAGCAAGTGTATTTCTTCCTAATTTAGCAAAACAGCCTACAGGATTACAGTGACAGCTTGGTCTCTGTGTCCATTTAACCTTTGAATTCTCCTAAGAGAACAGAACAAGCAAAACATCAACTGCTATTAAACATTTTTGATGCTTTTTTTTTTCCCAAGGAGAACAGAAATGACCAAGCAATGAAGTCAAGTAGGCAAYAATTGCTTTTATGAGCACTTAAACTAGTCTAATTCCTGATTCAGAACTGAAGATGACAAGCTCTGTATTCCATTACAAACCCTCAATCATRGAACTGCCCACATCCAATAAGATATTGTCACACATATTCAGGAAAAACAAAACCCAAGCCTAAGAGGTTCAGAGGTAGAAAGAAACAAATGGGCATTTATTAGGAAGCAAGGAGGCTTCAAGAATCCTCTCAAACAGTGGGAAGTATCAGCCAGCCATGAGTCCACCCACSTGTGCACAGACAGATGAGGAAGTTGTGGATAAACCACAGGCAGTGGCTGATCAGTGCATGGCATGCTGCTGTGGTCAGTCTCTGACCTCATCAAAAAGTAAACATCCTAACAGGAGTCACAGAAAACCAACTTGAGCCTTGAGGAATTTCTCTAGGGCTCCCACCTTGACCTCTGCAGCTGCACAGATGGGGACTATCATGTTCTGCTTCAGGAGTATGAATTAAAAGTAAKATGAATACACTAGGCTTCAGAAAAATGATTTTTTTTTTCTTTCTTTCTCTGGCCCAGAGTCACAGTTTAGGACAGTGAGAGCCAAGTTCCTGACCTGGTTTAGAACTTTCCATGAAAAACTGCTGAGTAAGGAGCTAAACATGCGAGAGTTTAGTCCTAAGGTTGTTTCAAAACATTTCACTGTATTGGTCTGAAACACCTTGAAACTGCATGAAAACATGCCATTCATGTTACCTCATCCTTCAGCCAGCATGAGGTAAAAAATCAATGTCAACAATGTTGCCAATGTCAACACTGTAAGTTTTTCCATGCCACTCGTTTGTAATGACAATGAAATTCATACAAAGGTAACAATCTCACTAAAACATTTAAACCCATACCTTGTGGTCTAATGGTCTGAGTTATTACCACTGGCATCCTAATCTGGGTAGTCTGGCAAGCAGGGGTTCGTTTCACAGTTTGAGCAGATGTTGACTGGATAATCTGCTATTATTAAAGAAAAGTATACTTATATTATACTCTTTATACACAAACACACACAACGTAAATACACTAATACCTGTAATTACCAAGATAAGCAYGTGGAACTCTAAAAGCACAACCAGCTGGTGACAAAAGTCATATTCATGTAATGCATGTGGTTGTGTGTGTGTGTATATACCTATTTTGCCATTATGCTTTTAAAAAGGAATCAAATCATATACGACACATATCATAAGTCACAACCTTCATAAAAAATACATTTCAAAGTCATAAGGTTAATATTAAAATTTAGACTTTTGTCTTCAGAAATTTTACTGGGAAGAAAAGCAGTTTTGTAGAAGAAAATGCTGCAATAATTGCAGTGGTATCTACCATCTAACATTAGGCCTTGCACTAAACATCTACGCTTTTTAAAGAAAACATACTAAAAATAAATTTTACATCATCTAAAATGTTATGGGCTCCAAAGTCAGATATAAACAAGAAAGTAAACCAAATTTTGTGGTGACCATATAGGATCAATCTTTTAAATATTAATTGGATATTCTCAAGGTTTCATTTACTACTAATTCAAGTTCTGAAGACCTTCCCCAAAACTAAACCTGGGTTATAAACTTAAAATTTGACCCATAAAAAACATCAAATAAAAAAAAAAAACAAAAAAAACACGTGCAAGGAGCAACATGCAAAATGTACATTTGTAAGATCAGGGACAAGGTAGTCACAGACATAATGAACAGAAGATTCACAAAGATGTGTGGATGCTGCAGAGCTGTAAAAAATCCATAAATAAACTGTGAAAATAAACCACTGGCAAATAGCTGTGAATAAGATTTCAACCACAACCCAGGCATGGCACCTCCAGCAGCCGCGTGCTCCTCACAGTCACAGTCACAGTCACAGTCAGAGCTGCTCCTCCCCATGCAGAAGGGACCCCCGAGCCTGCCCATGGGATGCAGCATTCCCAGCTGGAACCAGCCCCCCACTGCACCTCCCCACAACACCACTCCCACCAAGAGCAGCTCAACCATTCCACTGAGCTGGKCACAAAGAGCCACATCTCTGACTGCACAGCAACCTGGGGAGAAAAGGAAAGGAGAAACAGCATCTGCAAACGAGACRCAGAAGTAGAGAATGAAACTGCACCATTCACAGGAACCAGGGCTCCAAAACAGGAAGGGAGACAGGTGAAAACTACAAACAAGAAAAGAGTGATGAGGGACCTGTGATGTATTCTGGAAAACAACCCAAATAGGGCCATTCAGAAGTTACTAAACTGCATTTTGTACATCCTAAAATACAGAGARTTGAAAAGTTGTAAAAAACCTGTAGATGTAGAAGTATTAGCAATAACCACCTTGCAGAAAGAGAAAAGAGATAAAATATTAAGGATTCAGCTTCAATATGGACACTGAAGGAAAATTCAGCACTTGTATTAARCACAGAAATAGAGCAAATGGATATAAATTTACTTGGTCAAGACAGTGAGTGAATAGTCACACTCAGAGGGGAAAGAATAAAGTAGTACCATGCTTACAAACAGRAAAGAAACAGAGTTGATCAGTGAAAACAATAGAAAAAAGTTGAATTTAACTGCAGTTTGATGCACAAGAGACATATACAAGTGTGGTTTTAGTAAAAAGAATACTCCATGTGAAAAAAAACCCTACATCAGTAGGAAAAGAGGAATGTTGCCACTCTTACAATAATTCATTGGTAAGTTTTCAGAGAATAGTGAAGAAAAGCTGCTGTACCTTAAGGGGCTGGAAGCAAAGCCATAAAGATGTTTGGGACCTGGGGACACAATTACTACTGGTATTATAGTAATCAGCTGCAATTACATTGCTTTTTMTCTCTGTGAAGCAACTTCTACAGTTCAGAACCAAGTTCTGTTTCCCKTGATTAATATTTTCATGTGAATAACGTACATAATGAGCCACTGACACCATTAAAGACAGGACAATATTGAACTATTTCAGATGGTGTAAGAAATGGCACTGTTTTCTTTACTGTACAATACATTAAAAAACAGGTTTTTGGCAAGTACTGTACTAGGACTTCAATTTATGTCCAAGTGCTGACAGCATAGAAAATTATTGAGAGAGAAACTTTTCAAGGGGCAGAGACCAAATTTTTATCTTAAACTCCATACAGAAACCAATCAGCAAGAAGCATGTTCTCTCTCAAAGGAACAACTGCACCATACCTCAGAGTAGCATTTCACACTAAATCCCAGTATCTGTAGGGGACCTTTAAAAAATGTTTCAACACAGATGCAATCTCCAGATCTGGAAGTCATTCAGGAATTAACATTAGCAATTAGTTTCTGAAACAGAGTATGTAACTTCTCGACAGACAAATGAGGGACATAGTAAAAACTAATGAGTCAGAGAATTCTGCATTAAAATCTATATACTGTCTAAACCACACTTCATCAATYAAGGTAATTCAAACTTCTAATYGTCTTGCCTATATTCRCAACATCATAAACATTACTGTTAAGTCCTTAGCTTGGCCTGAAATTTGTAGACAATGAACAAGTGTAATAGCATGCCAATCTGGGAGATGATTAACTTAAATTCTTTCATATTTCCAACAGGCTAAAAATACACACAAGTGCACCCCATGTCATGTTATCTGTCTATATTCTGAATCAAAGCTGAATGCCACTGATCAGTTCGCAAACCCTATCCCAGACTGAGAGAGCAGACACAGGAGTGGATGTTTTGGGACACTGATGTTRTCAGGGACATTACTTCATTCAGCCTTCAGAAAAGGGGAGATCTTAGTGTTGTTTGCAATCACCTTTGGGAGGATGTAGAGAAGACAGAGCCAGACTCTCTCAGATGTACAGAACAGGAGGATGTAACACAAAAGACACAAGCCGGAATATTGGAAATTCCAATGTAATATAAGAAAAAAAATGACGAGGGTGGGCAAGCTCTGGAACAGACTGCCCAGAGAGGTTGTGTAAYTTCCTCTTGAAGACACTCAAAACATGACAGGTCACCTGGGAGACATCCTAACCTGCAAGCAGGAGACTGGACAAGACACCTTCAGAAGTCCTTTCCAACCTTTTACCATTATGCCCATRAACGCATAATCACAGATTTTATAAAAGTGCTCTGTCACAAAGGGTAACAAGACAGATTGTAAAAGTATTCAAGGCTTGCAGAAACTGTTCATCATTCCATCTCCACTGAAAAGGGAAGCATTTTTCATTGCTTCCACCTCTGAAGACAGCAAGCACAAAAACAGAACAACRAAGGCATGGAAAATACAAAGGACGGAATGTGATTTCCTCATTGCCTGGATTTGAGAGAGTTTGGAAAATGGTAAAATTACCAAACAAAATTATGATCAAGATAGTGTTGAGACAGCAAGTGCTGTCATATACCAGCTATTCCTCTTCAATTTATCTGTCAAAATCATGAGCTAGACTGCTGCACTTTGGAGCTCTTCAAGGAACACACTAAAGCAGCAAAGTCATGGCATTGCTTCTCCAAGTGCAATGCCTGAACAGTTATCTACATTTTTCTTCCATCTAATAACATTTTTCTGTAAAGTAAGATGTACATTCCTCACAATAGAAAGCATTTTCCCTCTCTTTTGATTTCATCTTTGCACTTCTCCCCTTGTCATCTCTCTCCACTGTTCCCACTGACTTTGATTGACCATTTGTCTGCTCTCCCAGACCAGCTCCTTCTCTCACCTCCCGTACATTGCAGATCCCACTCTGTCCTTTGCTGAAGTTGACATTATTTTCACAGGTGAAAAAAAGGATGTTTTTACAAAGGTGCTTCCATAAGACAGCAGATTCATGAAGACAAAAAATTATATATAACAATCACACTACTGATAACCAGAGTAACAAAGGGGTGACARCTGAAATACAAGGGTTTTTTTCTAAAGGTTTTCTTCAAAAAGCGTAGATTCAGTAACTCTGTTAGAATAAGGTAATGGTTCTCTCTGGTCCTGATYTCAAGCCAAAAGGTGATGATCATTTCGTGAYAGGTGTGAATCTTCTACTRTGTAAGTTATTACAGAGCAGAGAACAAATTACAGATGTGAACACAGACCAATAATTAACAACACAATTAACCAACAAATATGGACTGAGAAGGRATCCAGCCAAGGCACATAAAATGTACAGAAGCAGAAAGAGAACAGAAGTTATCAGTCTTTCTCATGCCTACACAAGATTACAAAATAAAATAAGAGCCACTATCTACAAACCACTGAAAGAAAAAGTCCTCTAGGACATTTAAATTAGAACTCATTGCTCAAGTTTCTGAGGACAAGGATTTTACAGCTCTCCTGGATCAGTGCTGATGCACAAGGTTCCAACCTTTACTTGCCTCCTTTTTACTTGACAAGGGCTGCAAAACCAGCCTGGCTCAATTCACATAAATCACCCTTTGCAACAAAAGCATCTGAATCAAAAACYACAATAAAAACAAAAACACAGTAAACAAGAGCTTCTGCAAAGAAATGAAAAATAAAAACAAATTTGAAAACTATATCCCTCACCAAGCATTTTTTTCTCTCAATTAGGTTAAATAAAAATATTATGGAAGGAAGAAACAAGACACTCGTAAACATATAGAATTCAGAATGGCTGTGGTCTGATATGACATTTATCTTCACTCATGAGTAAACACTTGCTAACTCACTTGTGGCTATGCCACTTGTGATTTATCAGTCTACTCACTCCTGAAGATAAATGTCATATCAAACCTCAGCTATCATGTAATCTGGCAGCATTAACTTACAATGTTCATGCTTTTATGGGCCTAGAACTCACATTTACCATTGCTTACCACACTGCAATAGTAGCAGCTACAGTTTTTCAATGGTGCCTTAAAATCTTCATAAGCARTTATTTTTCCTCCCAAATAAAACAAATTGATTTTTTAAAAACTCAGCACAAAATAATTAATCTAATGTGACAACAATATTATTCCATCGAGTATAGTTTTCAATAAAGCAATGACAAAAAATAAAACAGAAGCCATGAGATCGCTTGTCCCACCTGCTCCTCAATTTATTAAATAATTCTTCCTACAATGGTCAAATGRTCTATTTTTGAGTGTTTTCAATTAYGGCTTTTTCATCRCTGYTTTTGGGAGCCTGATCTACCATCTAACATTCTCTCTTACTTTATGGATATTTTGCCTTATATCCTATTTAAATCCTATTTCATTTAATTATATCTTGTTATTCATATTTACACCATCTTGGTCTGCTCCAAATAATGGCCTTTTATTCTCCCTTTCAATCAGTTTTTGACCAAGTTACGTCTGTACAATTCTCTTAAGCTTTTCTTTTAGGCTTTGCTTTTAAGCCTAGCCTTTTGTTAATGGTTTCCAAACAGCAATCAGTGACAATATTCTCCTTATTTTAAAGGTACAGCCCACAATATTCTGAAAATAAAGTCCATGATAACAAYTCAGAAAATCACTAGGTTGTGTTTCAAATAGGCACACAATAGGCATACAATTTGTAAAATATAGGCTTTGTTCCTGTTGATGGATCCCAGACATCAACTGCTCAACAGCCACTTAAATTTAAATTTTATTGCACACCAAATTCCAAGTCCGTAGCTAAATCTTTGTTAGTTCATTAATAGAAAATACTCCTTTTATAGGAACAGCCATCTATTACTCTTCCATTTCTAAGCTGCCATGCCGACAAGGCAAAAAGAAAATGATTTCCTAAAATTTCACTAAAATGTGTACAAATTACATTCAACCATGAACAGAAAAGTGTTGCCAGAAAAAGCTTCAGTAGAGAATTGAAAAGCCAAGTGGAACATCCCCACATAACATAATTCATATTCTGCTGTGGTATCTTATTTCCAAATTCCATTACTCTATCTCAGCTTCTGAGAGACTGCAACCACTGTGACAGTCCATGGAAAGTGTCAGTAAATGTTTGGGCAAATCCTGCTCTAAAGGACCTTAGAACATGGCAAAGCCTACCCTGTGGACACTGTGCCAAATCAGTGCAGCAATAACAGTGCAGATGTATTTCTATACATCCCTGCTAATCCTAGACCTGCATGAGTCTCTGTGCAGCTCTGTATATAATTAAATTTGTTTTAATTAAGATGGATCACTGATTTTCTTATTGGKTTTTTTTTATCACTCAAATTTAATACTTGGTTTTAACCTCCAGGAGTACTTTGTCCTCATAAAGCAGTCAGCGCCAACACAATATAGAAAGTGCTAATCCATCTCCATTACTCATCAATCTACTTTGAGGCTGAACACATTTAACCAAGAACATCTCTCTCATTCATACAGACTTCACCTGCTGTAACATCCAAAACAAGACAGGCAATACCTGCATATATAAGGCAACACAGAGCACATGGACTCTAAGAATGGCAATTTAGACAAACTTTGAACATTGCACTTAGAACAATTAAAAAAATTGATTACTGGCTTATCTAATTAGTGTCTCATCAATAAAAAATTARGCTAAGATTATTCCCCTTTTCTCTGCCTAGAAGTGGCACTAGCTCGCTTTATAAAGCATCATTTTTCATAGTTTGGAACATGATAGCRGTACTTTGCAAAACAGATAGGAAAAGCTCTCCTCTTTCATCTCCACTGACTGTACATTGCAAAGCCTTTGTGCGAGCAATGCTGCACTGACAGTGTGCACAGGATTTTCATGCTGTAAGATACCTCAGTGTAACTGGAGAAAGCATCACCACAGCTGATACCTCTGAAAAACAGAAAACTCAAAGGAGGGAACACCTAACAGACCCTCAACATTTGAAGGGAAACTGGACGATTGTAAACTGGCTGGTATGAACAGATCTATATTCTAAAACATGTTTGCCCTTCTGCAGCTGGACAGTTTGCAAAGCCAGCTGGAACTCTCTCCAATGAGCTTCTGGCTTGGAAAATCTGGAGCTCAGCCAGTTCCTCCATCAGTGCTGGGCACCCTCAGGCAAGCCAGCTGCAATCTTCCTCTTCCGGACAAGTCCAAGGCAAGATGGCCAGCAGCTCKTTCAGTGCTCTGATTTCAGGGAGCGTTGGGAGCTGTGACAGTGCGATCACTGTCACTACAAAAAAAATCAATACTTAGGAGCAGTTACTGGGGTGATATGGAACTGCTGCTGTGTTGTCTGCTTGGCACCTGAGCTAATGGTTGCTAAGATTTTTTTTTCATGCAGTAACTCTTACTGTCTCATGATGCTTTTGTCTGTATAGAGGGTATACTTTGAGGGTAATTAAGTGCCTGGTTAACGTAATGTTTGATTCTATTAACTAATGACTGACAATATTAAAGCAAATATGAAAAGACAGTTTCACARTAAAGGCAGTAAATTATGATTCTTAGTATCTTCTTCCTATGTATTTTCCACAAAAGGAGTATTATTAAGCACAGTTCTGCTCTGCTCAGTTTGTGACCTTTTGAAAATGTAGCAGTCATTTCACRTACCCAGTAAATGAAAATTCAGCCTTAGACCTGTGACCTCCTTATAGAAAGAAAATCAACTTCTCTTGATCATTAGATCAATCTCCACAATATTACTTGAGCAGCTTTCAGCCCTTCCTGTGACACAAGTATGTCATAAAAGCTCTTCACATAGTCTCTACTCAGGTTAACATCACAACTGCTCACTTTGAGTCCACTGACATGAGACAGAATGCACCTCTCACTGAAATTCAGCTTTATCCCAATCAGAAAATAATCCACCAAAACTATAATCAAAAAAGTAAGAATTCCTGTAGTCTTACCCATTTCTGTCCTACCTCAGTGTTTCTCCAAAGGTAGGGTGCAGCCTGCCTACTGGGCACAGGGGCACTCAAGATGGGCTGCACAACACTGGAAAAAGCCATGTTACATGGCAGTAGGTTACTCTTCAGACTGGGGCATGAGATAATGCCAGACTTACTGGCCATGGACATTTCTMCTCATAAGCAATCTGTCAGCTGCTGCCAGAAATTTGCTTACCCTGGGACAGGTAAGGACCCTTCCTGCCTGTAAGCATCCCCAGTTCCTGCACTTCTACCTAGAAGAGCCAAAGCTATTGTCCATTCAGCCATGGACAAGCAGAGCTGCCACAAAAAGTGAGGAACACTTTATTAATGAATAAAACAATGCAGACAGGGTGGAGAGAAGCCATCTCGGAAGAAGAAAGAATGCAAGTGGCTGGACTTGCACCAAAGCAGCTGATCTGAAGCGAGAAACACCCAACTGTCTCGCGTGTATTATAACAGCCAGAGTCAGAAATCTAAGCAGCCAAGATGTTCTTACACATTAAAACTGTGCTCACTAAAGGATTATAAAATTCTACTAATTTAATTTTAAAGTTAGTCATTTAACCACTAGAAAGTGTTGATAAGGCTCAAGACACAGCTCAAGTGTTTTCAGACTGTGCAYTGCTACTTTTAAATTAAAGCAAAATAAATATTCTCTCTCCACACACCTCACAAATTATTTATAAGCTATATAGAGCCTATAAACTAAAAGACAGACCACTGTAATGTTTTGCATTATCACATGCATTTCTCAGCCTTGAGAATATAAATTTTTACCAACTTGATACAGGTTCTAGAACATGTCTGAAGGATTTTGAAACCTAAGTGAACTACTTTACTCACACATGCAGAGAAACTAAGACAAGGACTCTCACAAAGGGTGGTAATGCCTGTAAAAACTCCAGGCCTTGTAAAAATCCTTAACATCCCTTAACTACAAGTGCAAACACACACAAAAGATCCTGTGTAACAGCAGCAKGAAGTCCCCATGTTCTCAGTGACTACCTGGCTGTACAGCTGTCTTACTGACAGTGTCTCAGAACTCAATAGATCTAAACCCATAATAGTCTACCATGCACAAMAAAGATACAGTTCAGTGAGTAACAGAGAATGGCATTATTTCTAAACAAAACATCCTGGTACAGCACAGCTATTCTCTCCAAGACTTTACACAACTATGTRTAAAAGAGTTTAAAATAAGAGAGTTAATTTTAATGCAGACTAATCCAAGCAAAGCAGCATACCTAATGACATACTCAACATTATACTCTTGCCTGTAAATCCTGGAAAGCTTTCTGTTCTACATTTGTAATTCCCTCAACTTCCACTCTGCTCACACAACAATCACTGTATTGCAGACAAAAAAGCCAAGAGTRCACTTCCTTAAATTTATGTTAACAATCTTACCTAAAGTAATGGTTGAGCATATATGTGAAATGACAGAAAATGAGGTACTACTACRTATCACAGAATATGATACAAACATGAAAGAATTTTCCCAAAAAAGCTGCAACAAAAGTGACACTGGAAACTGCTACAYAGTTCAGTAAGAAATTCTCTTTTATACTACAGTACCTACCAGTTGAGAACTCTGATTTGACTGTACCACCTTAACCTGAGGAGGCTGCACTGTATTTGATACAGACACTGTGCAAATGTTGTTTGGTTGCCTTATTCCTATTGTCTGCGTCGTGACAACAGAGGAAATGCTTCCCGAGGCAGATTGAGGTATAACTTGCGAGAGCTTGGTTTGTTGGAGTGACTGCTGAGACGGCTGTCCTTGCAAAACCAAATGTTGACTATTCAGTAAAGATTGTCTCAGTGCAGGTAGACTTTTCTAAAAACAGAAGAAAGTTCATGAAATATGAAACTTAGCAGATTGACAAAAAGTATTTTGAAATTTTCTGTAAACATAATAAAAAGAATGCAACTTTTTTTTTCACTTTTACTAACTGCCTATTCATCCAACAGAAGTAAGATTGAACATATTTTCCAAGAGAAAGTTCAGTTTACATTTTTAGTAAGCTTTCMATTTGGATTTAGCAACCTGCAGATTTTCATGTGCCCTTACTTCCACTGTAGCAGTAGAATGTAACAATCTTCTTCTCACAACCATCTAGAACTTGTAGCGCAGGTCTTTGGAAGGGCAAGAAATGGAAGCAGGAAAGGCAGAACCATAGAACARCCCTACTCCCACTGCATGCCAGAAGCAGCAAGCTGAACCACTTTACTCCTCCTGACACACCTCCAGAACCCACAACCAGGTGACTTCACTGTCAATCCCCTACAGCAGTAGCTGTTTATGGTATTATTTCTGAAGTCATGTATTGTGACTGGATTAGAAAAGTGTACTATTGTATGCTCCACGTTCACACCACTTCAACAAAAAATGCTTCCAAAAGGCTCTACTGTTCTTTCGTGAACAAWTTTTTTAYTTTTTAAGTGGCAGAAGTGTTCTTTTGAATTGCATCCTCCGGGCAGCTTAGAATGCAACAACGTTTAGCTCAAGTTACAGTTCTTTCTAAACTTCTAATATTGATTTAAAAACTTAATGCCTGTTGCCCAAAAAGGACTTCAAAGAAAGAAAATAAATCAAAACTTATCGTGATGCTAGAAAAGCCACAAACAAGAGTTAATGACAACTTGAAGAAACAGAAGCAGAAAGTTCTCAAGCAAAGTTACAGGAAGAGAGAGGAAATCTGCCCCAAACAGAAGTTTTGATCTAGACAGAAAATGCTTTTAAAACGATATTTGTGGTTTTATTGGGACTTAAACATGCTTTGTATGTTTGYAAATAATCCTACATATGGAAGTTACTGTAGCTAATTTTCAGAACCAATGAAAAGTTAAATTTACCCCATATACACCGACTTAGGACCCAACAATAAATCTATCTGGTATCACATCAGAAATTCTGCTGTTGATCAGTTCCATGTTACAAGGAGGATTATGAACACCTGTATCCAGTGCAGTTTTCATAATCAGTGTTACACGTGGATGGAATGTTATCAATGACGCAAACACAGATTAGAAAAACAATATGGAAACAGTGTATCAAATTACTTGAAGCATGCTACAGAAATAACTTGGGACACTTTGAAATGTCAATGTTCTTCTTCACAAAAAACTACCACAGGAAACTGTATCTATTATAAAAGTAAAGGCTCACTACAGAATTGCCAATGGATAGTTTCCAAACTAGGGAGGAACTGGGTTTTTTTAATCTAATTACTGCAAAGTTCTAGATCAGGGCTACTCGAGCAGAAAACTCCAGAGCAGCGTGGGACAACAAATACATTTCCTTAAAAGTCAGCCAAGCTCCARAACACAGGGGGTCACCCTTCTGTAGGAAAACCCTATTTCTCACCACTGTCCCAGGCTGTGGAGCAGCCCAGAGCCACACAAACCGTGAGCAGCACCTGCCTGGCCTGAAACAGGTGGAGCCTGCCCGGGACTTCCAGCCAAGGAAATCCCAGCAGAAATGGGCACATTCAGAAGTAACAGAAGGGTAGTTCTGCTCTGGACCACTGAAGATARTACCACTCTAAAAGGATATTCTAAGACTCAGTGTAATGAAATTTGCMCTGAAATAAATTTATCCAAACCATATTCACATTACCTTAAGGAAAGGTACAAGATACGGCTGAGGAGATGATTTGAGTTCTGTTTGAAGGCGGCCTGTAAATTCTTCTGGATCAATCTTTGCATCCTTCAGGGGAAAGAAAAAAAAAGCATCAACAACTCAGCTCAGTTGTTTGGTTGCCTCTTTCCCAGCTAATATATACACATATCTCTGCAGCTAAATAGGCTGCCACATCAAGAATGTTGAGAGCTCAAGTCCCTTCACTGCCCTCTGAGATCCTTCTGTCTAGCACTTATTCAAATATGTAACATGCCACTCACAATTCTGAGAATTCCCTTGGAGATGCACAATTTAAATCAAAACAAGGCCCCAGAAACATTCAGGTCTCTTTTGGGACTCCATTCTCTTGCTAACATTTACACAGTGATTTCTTTTTTAAAATTAAAAGAAATCAGCAAAAGGCTGTTGAAGTAACCTTACAAATCATTACAAAATTTCTSAGCTTTTACAGTAATTCCAAAACCAATTCTGATGGTACAATTTAACTTGTAGAATGTGAATATATAAACTGTATATATAAAGCACAGGCACATATAAAAAGCATGCTTTTAAATAGATATAAAATTTTCTCCTGTATGGATTAGTATGTATATTAATAAAATATACACTTACAATGGTATCAAATACATAATCAGTCATTTATTTAGTTATTATTATTTAGTTAATTCAAGAGAACTCTAACTTAGGTGCATTTTATGATACTTCTAAATATCTTAACTATCATACCTACCATTAGTTACAAGTCCAGCTTGTAATAAAAACATTAATTAACCTGACTGATACAGAACAAGAGAAAAAGCAAACCAAAACAAAGCTTCAATAAATACATTGTATATGTGTGTCACTACTTTGTTTAAAATACTGTAAGCAGTTACCTTTAGATATTTACTCTTTTCAAGTTTGCAAAAGTTCAAACAAGTTTTTACTGGAACCTCTGAAGGGGATAGTTGAATGGCTCACACTTGAAAACAGTCTTAGGCTTGTCTAAACACAGGCTTCTCTGGCAATGAACTCAAAGAAATGTATAGCAACTACATTGAAATCCAAGTTCTTCACAGACTATATGACATTGCTTTCGAGAAGCTTGACTGCTTTCCCAGCTCTGCAGTAACATCTGTCTGCAGTTTATTATACAGCTCACTGCAACAGCTGTTCACTGCAGACTGCAGCCAGGGCAGCCTTTCCTGGGCCCAAGGATTCCATCTGACACAGCTTGGTCTCTGGAGATTCCCAGCTCACAAAGGCTCCAAGCAGGGGCACCTGTCTGCAGAGCAGCTGACAATCAGCAGCTCAGGAAAATACTTTGTGTTCAGTCCTAGAAACTCTAAACCACATTGTGAAGGAATCTATCTACATTTGTTTGTGCTTACAACAAGCAAAGAGCTTCTTGTTTCAGAAAAGACGAGAGTTTGGAGGAAAAGAAACTTCATGAATCCTCAAGGAAAAATCTTGTATTTTACTGTTTTACTAAATGAACAATCAAAATATTACCCATCAAAACAAGAGTGGCTTTGACAACACCTACTTAATACCTTGTTGCATTTCCCCTTCCAAAAACCAAGAGAAACTGCCTTTAACAGATTTTTTAACATATGTAACATACTGAATATTGCATTTTCAGGTAGCCAAACTCCTTTCACTTCCATGACAATACAATTGTTARTATCAAAGCAATCGTTTTCAGCATCCATAAATAACAAGCCTAATAGATAACAGACAAAATAAAAGTATTTACCAACAAATCTTGAACCAGAGCTTTCACATTGCGGGACGTTTCTGGAGATGGCGAATTATGAGAAGCAAGTTTTATAAGGGTAGCTAAAAAGTTTTTGCATTTTTTCACATTTTCTTGCATTTCCTGCAAAAGCCAAAGAAAACAACTATCAGCTCCATGCYATTTTTCCATCACAATCAATGCATGCTCTGATCACTACAAATAAGGAAAATGATGAAATTTATCCAATTTGGACAGGATATATGACATACATCTGCAGCTGCTTTGCTGTTACTGATTGCTACCTGAGACTTTCTTCTCGTCTTTATGTAACTGAACATCATAGCTTGCATTTAAAAATGAAAAAAATCAATGAAAGAAATATATTTTATATTTTACAGTCTGCTTTGGTACAAATAACCTTAAATATGATAAGTAACACAATAATTTGCTGGAGATGCATTCCTTTTTGAGATGCCCCATACACAATGTAGAAACCTTCTCCAAGCTATCTTAATTTGTTAGATTATTGATTCAGTATGATTTTGTACGAAGTAGCTAGAGCAGGAAAATCAAATTAGAAGTCTCCAAACATCATCATATCTAATCTTTGTTTCATTAGTAGTAAAACAAGCTGTTATTTTTATGTGCTCCAAGAAACAGAAAGGCCACACTTGAGTGTAACCACAGTTCTGAGGCCCAGCAACAGCCAATAATGAAGTGCACAGACTGAAGGCTTGAGCTTTGTCTGCAGGAACAGAACGGTTCTGTCACCAGTGACACACCCACAACAGGAGGGGCAAAGTTGACCACAGTGCTCTTTGTCCTGCTCACAATTCAGYTCCACCCAGGGGCAGGGCTTTGCTGTTTGTCAGGTATTTGTTCCATCAGGGGGTACATGTTTGCATGAACAAAAAGTGTCTGCACAGACCCGAGAAGCTCCTGCAGCACCAAGGGAACCRTATTTCCCGTATTTTCCAACTTGCCTGTGACACAACTGTAGTTCCAGGCACAGGAGAGCTGGGGATGACCAGGGGCTGTGCTGGGACCTGCACGGCCGTGTGAGGGGGCAGCGGCAGCCGGGGCTGCCCGGGGGGCTGGCCGGAGCCTTGGCTCTGACCTCCCGCCACCACTGCCGCCTGCTGAGGAGCTGAACTTCCACTTGCTACTGTTGTCTTGAACAAATTCTGAGCACTCGTTGTAGCTACTGACACCTGTTAAAATTTCATATTAAAAAAACATATTTTAAAAAAATCTTCTTTTAGTTCTTTTACTCAACCATCATATTCTTGAAAGGAAAAACTTTCCTTCCAGTGACAGCACACACCACAGCTCCCAACAGGGACAAAACCAGCACAGCACGTCCACTGATGCAATAGYATTTATCACTCCAGCTGATGTGAGCTTTTTCTTTAAAGAAAATTAACTACCCTCAAACTTGTTACCATCCAAGAAACAGTAGAAAATAACATCTAGGCTGTCATTCATCACCTGCATAACTCAGTCTGACCACACATTCATTGTTAATTTCTGGAACTATGTTTGCAATAAAAGGAARGATATGAACATTAAAATTCACTTTCCAAAAAAAACAGGTAAATCTTAAAATTATAGAATGGTTCGGGGTTGGAAAGGAACTTGTTGGAAAGAACACCTCCCACTATCCCAGGGTGCTCCAAGCCCTGTCCATCCTGGCCTTGGGCMCTCCCAGGGATCCAGGGGCTTCTCTGGGCACCCTGTGCCAGGACCTCCCCACCCTCCCAGAGAACCATTCCTCCAGTACATCTGCCTTAAATCTCAGAGAATTTAACCCCCCAGACCCCAGTCCGGCTCACCACGGCGTGGGACAGCACAGCCCCTCCAGGCAGCGTGGCTGTGGCGCTGGCGGGGGCCGCTGTCGATGGCACCACCTTGGCTTGCACCGGCAGCCCCAGGCGCACGCCAGATGTGGCCACCGGCGATGGCTGCTGACAAAGGACAAACAAGCATTTCATTGGTTTCCTCCTTAGTAACTCGATCTCCAACGGTTTTTTATAACAGTGATATCAAGAATAATCATAATTAATAATGCAAAAAGAGTCAAACCTAGTAATGTGCTTATATACATATATATATATATATATAGATAGATAGATATAGATATTCACAAATACTAGAAAAATTAGCTTTCTCATGTTCAGTGACAGGTTTGCAATACTTCTCCTAAAAGTTATTACTTGTACAGCTACATGGAAAAGATTAGAAAAAACAAATGTGACCTGAAAAAAAAATTGACATTACATTGATGCATTAATTCAGTTGTAATAGTTACRTGTCAGCATTCATCAATATTTGAATTTATCACTGCCAGTAACCCATATTGGTCYTCTTGGACTGATCTGTTACTGTTACTCTGTTACCAATCCTCTTACTGATCTGTTCTAGTGTTTTTTTCCTTAAGAAAATTAATACGGACAGAAAATTTAGAAGGCAGAAAAATASTCTTAAAATAATTTCAGATTGAATTCCACAGAAACTAAGTTGAGCACAAGTGAAGTCTAAGCATGGGGAGGAAGYTTYGCYRTAGAACACAAGCTCTGTGCCCAGAYAGCAACTGCAATGGGAAGTGCAGACAAAGGAAAATGTCTGACCTACAGCCTTTCAGTCAGCAGCATTTTSTACAGCCCAGGAAATTTATCTCATTCAGCAAACACATTACTTSTTTTGTGATTTACTTTCATTGCAAAACTGAAATCTCTTGCCATCATACAAGAGGACAAGGTTTAGGAACTAAAAAACATCTCTAGGAAAGTTGTTATTTAATTCTGCAGGAAAGAAAATACCATTATAAAAGRAATACATCACACAATACGGCAATGATGACAAAATGAGAACCACTCATTACTGAAAATGAAGGCCACACTGGTGTCTCATAACTTGCATTTATTAAGATTTGCATTCACACACTTGGAAAAGACAAATTTTCTAAGTGGATGGAGTAATAAATCACAGCTGATGTTTMTCAGAAGATAAAACTAATTTTCCTTGATTTACATTTTCATTTATATGTCTCTAAAATTCATATTTTTATAAAGAATTGCATATTTTAGATTCTTACATTGTCTTTTAAACCTACATAAAATATTTCTTCAAAGAACATCCAGTGAACTCCAAGGTATCTCCAAAAGGAACAGAAGCCCAGGCAGGCATTTCAAAGCCCCAAGCATTCCTTACAAATCAGTCCAGCAACATCATCTACTGGATATCAATCTTCTGTACTTGGGGGAAAAAAAGGAGGAAAGAAAACAAATCAAATAAATCTACCTGACATCTGAACAAACCCCCTTTTTTTTGTTTGTACAGCTTTCAAGATTTTTAAAATCTTGACTAGGGAGGCCTTCCATCCTGAGGCAGCCTAAAACAATAAACAGCATAATCACGAAGAGGTAGAATTGACTGGTTTTTTGGAAGGAACATACAAGCTTTTTCTGTTTTAAATATCCTACACCTCTTTTCTCCATTATAAAAATGACCAATTGTTTTAATTTTAAAGTGCTGGTTGAATGAGATTGTATCTACCTGATGAGTGTTTGCATTTAAAACATAAATCCTGTGAATCTTGTTCACTTGCTTATAATCAGTTTCCAGCCTTAAAACACAGCATGCCTGTGATATCTGCCCTCTTATCAGCCCATGCTTCCAGARGGGAGGATTTAGGGAACAAACAGATAACCAGGGGCACTTCTGGCAGCCACTTGGCTCCAGGCAAGATCTGCAGCCAGAAATCCACAAATAGTGAGACTCTAAGCTAGAGAATATTTCTCAGCTAATAAATACCCACAGGAACAAATTTGAAAATAAAACTGCTCATAATTAAAATATAAATTTTCAGTACCATTATATTAYCCAACTAAGAATGTGTTCCAATGTGCCAGACCTCAGCAACAAACTGTGAACCCTGAAGACTAAATTCACTCTTGGTTTCAAAAATCAATAGTGACAAAAGCCTTTGATAGAAAATGGCAGTAAAATCTACTAATGTGTTGGTATGAAGAACAAACCTCACCACCAGAGAACTGCAAACAAAGTAATACAGTGGTTTTACTACTGTGGTTCCAAAACTCAGACAGATTAGAAAGGTAAGTGTGAAACGAGGGGATGAGAAACATAACAAGGAACTAGCCTGGAGAAATTCTTAAATATCATGGAAATTATCCTCAAATGACAGCTACAAGTTGCCAGAAGACACTCTAAGGATTCCCAACACAAATACTTCAAGTAAAAATTACTTAGAAACAAAAAGCTGTGTTTTCTATGGAAGAAAACTTGTAAACAGATCTCATGAGAAATATGTCAAAAACAAAACAAAAATTATCAACATAGTTTAAAACAAAAAATAATAATCCAATGTGTCAAGTTCCTATGGGAAGAATCTCAAGTAATTTATGATGTTCCTGAAAGAAAAACCACTGAGGTTTAGTATGATGCTATTAAATTCTGAATTACCAGGAGAGTTAGAAAGACATTTCCAAATGTAACTATTAACTTTTTTTTGAGATAAATCAAATGTTTTTACATTCTCTAAACACAAAGAAGTAACGCTGAGGAGCTTTTTGCCCTGTACTCAGATATTAAGAGGCAGAAACTAAACCATGAATAACTACAGTAAATAATCTGCTACTGACACCCATGGGACGCTGGAGGGTGCATCTGCACTGACCTGAGCTGCCCACGCTGCTCAGGATGGGGGAGCACAGCAAAGGCTACTGAGGGAAGCAGGATTTCAGAAGGGACAGCCTGGGGGGGTCCCAAGGTTTGTTCTGCCTGCYCCAGTCACACAGGGAATGCAGGTGAGTCCAGTTTCAGGGTGCAGTGAGCCGCTCTCACACAGGCCCTCAAGAGAGTTTYAGAATTGTTCACAGGAAAGAAATACTCTGGGTCCTGTAAATTCTCTCCCTAAAAAAGATCTCCACTRTCTGTCTCCCCAGAGCTCTGGGCACAGGAACAGAGAGGCAAAGCTCGGGAGAGAATGCACYGAATCTGCTGTGCACAAACAAGCTGCCTCTGTATGGCAAGGAATACACAAGGCTGCATCTGAAAAAATAACTCACTTGAATATGGAGTAAACAGTCAAAAATCAAGGATTATCTGTCACTGTCAAGGCAGGACTGCACCAATGTGAGAGACTGAATTACATATTCACAGCTTTATCAAATGAAGACAACTTAAACTGCCACAGGTCAGTGTGTAAATCCTTGGGAACAGGATTGTGATCAACTTGTATTTTGTATTATAGAAYCACCCCTTGACCAATGYTCCAGGAACCAGCAGCACAGGCTMTGCACTACAGACCAGCAGAGCTCACTTCTCACAAKGAATTTCCAGATATTTTTCATGATCATTCCTGTCAATAAACATGGCCACTATCAACCACACAAGGAAGAAWATACCCCAACAGCATTTGAACAAACACTAACACAAAAGCAGGGCCAAGTTTTTCACAATACACATGACACTTTTTGATACCTTCCAATACACGGCTTCACTCAGTGTTATGCAAAATTCAGTTCGAATATGATCTTTAAGCTTAGATTTAAATTTGCAAAACCTGAAATAAAATTCAATTTTATTTCTAATCATTAATCTAGAAGACTTCTTATAAACACAAGACCATGCTTGGATGCCATCTGAGATGTCTCAAACAATCAAAGACAATGCTCAAAAATGAGAAAACTGAAGTGAAGGGATCACAGACACGGGCTGAAGCATAAGCTAAAGGTCAAATCTGGGTGCTCACTTGATCTGGGCTGGCATGGCCAGGGTTTGGTGGTGGGGTAGCTTCTGTAAGAAGCAGCCAGAAACTTCCCCTGTGTCTGGCGGAGCCAATTCCAGGCAACTCCAGCACGGACCCACCCCTGGCCAAGGCTGGTCCCATCCATGACAGTGGCAGCAGCTCCTGCAGGACTGACTGCACCCCATGGAAGG